CTCCCTCTCACTCTCTTCCAAGCCTCAAAACCCCTTAAGTCCTACACCATTTACCCTACACCTCATAGCACAAGGCCTCCATCCTTCATTCCAGCACTTTGGACTGTTTTGAAGAGGTTAAGGCTCAAAATTTGGTCCAAGAGCTGCTGGTTCATTGGTCTTCAAGGGTAAGTCTTCTTCTCCTTTTTTCTTGCTTATTTGCCTTGTATCTAAGCCATACTTCTAGCATTTTTGGCTCTGACCCAAACTGTAAATAGTCATATTTTGACCCCCTTTTCATGTTTGATCAGGACCTCGGCTGTTTGAGGTCTCTACTACCACTTGCCTCTTTATCTCTCTTTTAGGCCAATTTTGCATAGTATTTTAGGCTTATTTTTGAGTTGTTTTGGACTTGGTCATAAACTGTAAAATAAGTTTTTTGAGCCCCTCTTCAACATTTTGAAGGGCTCTCCTCTGTTTGAGGTCTCCTACTATCACTTGCCTCTTTATCTCTCTTTTAGGTCAATTTTTGCATAGTATTTTAGGCTTATTTGTGAGCTGTTTTGGACTTTTCCATAAACTGTGAAATATCTTTTTTTGAGCTCTTCAACTTTTTGAAGGGTCTCCTTGTTTGAGAACAGAAGCTACCACTTGTCTCTTTACCCCTCTTTTAGGCCTTTTCTTGCATGATAGTTTGGCCTTATTTGTGATTATTTCGTGGCTTGATGTAAATTGTAAAGTCCTTTTTTTGAGCCCCTATTCAACTTTGTTGAAGGGCTCTTTTCCATTTGGGTCCAGCTACTGTCCCTTGTGTTTAATCTCTCTTTTAGGGCCATTTTTGCATGATAGATTAGCCTATTTGGTTCATTTTTAAGACTTGTTACAAACTAAGAATATGCATGTTTTGGGACTGTCTTGCCTCTGTCTTCAGCTTCATGATCAAATAATGCATGCTTTGTATAGCTGTAAGTCATTCCATGTGCCTAGTTTGAGTTTCGGGGTTCATTCCATGCATCGGGTGCCATGTTTCCATGTTTCAGGGCTGTTTTGTATCATATTTCAGCGTGAAATTCACATGTTTGCATATCATGTTCCATGCCTTGCCATGCTTTGGTAGAGTGGCATTCGATGCCTTAGATTCGGTCCTCAATTTGCGTGCATGTGTGCACGCATTTCGATAATCTCATTTTCATCTAATGGCTACTAATGTGAGTTCGGCTGAGGTCCACTCATGTTGTGTAAGTCCATTGTGCATTGCGTATGCCATTTCATTTCATAGCATTGTGTATGCTAGGTTGTATGTTAGAGCATTGTGTATGCCTTGTTACATCGTGCATTGTATATGCCATTTCATAGCATTGTGTATGCTAGGTTAAATGTTAGGGTTTCATTCATGCATATCATGCATATTGCATAATGTTTGGGATAGGAGTTAGCCCAAGCGCGGGAAACGATGTAGTTTCGTACTCCGAGTGACGGAACGTGCCTCAATTCCCTGTCGCCGACATTCCGATTACCCATGATGGAGTTTAGGCCTTGTTTGTCCATATGTGATTCATTTCATATTGAGTCGTGCAAATCGACTCCTCGGCCATCATGCATCGAGATGCGTGATTGGTGGCACGAGGATCGAAGACTACACTCCCTGAAGAGTAGTCATGATACATATGTGAAAATACTTTCCATGCTCCTTGTTGCTCTCTGTTGCAGCAAATCAGAAATCAGCAGCCTTCCGGAGCTTGGCACGCATCCCGAGAACAATTGCAAACAGAGGCGAACCGGGGCATCACAGTGGATTTTCGCGCAAGGCGACTCAAGCATGCATCATCCATCATTCGGAACAAAGCTGAGGCAGTCCATGGATTTGCGTGCCAATTTACTGCTTTCCTAGATTAATTTGTTAATTAATTAGGGTTTTGTATTTATTTGGACTGTAATTATTTATTCAGGACTGTATTATTTATTCGGACCTCCGAGCGGGGCACAACTGTAATTAGTGTGCGTGTGTGTGATGTATGTCTTCAACCCCACGTCTTTCTCCCTTTTATTTACCCGCTTATGATGGTTAGATTAGGGCATGTTTCAATTAGCATACAGTATGATAGCATGTTTGCATTCATTATCTGTTTTGCACGCACCGGGCTCGGCGCATCATACTAACTGCATTGTATTTTCAATTCCAAGTTGATAACATGTTAGCTGTAGCATTTCATATGTCATGTTTAGAACAGCCGAGAGAATAGCTGAGCCTGCTATAGTTGCATTTTTACATTTGTTGCATTAGACATTTCTGTATAATTAGGATCATGCATGGATTTCTAATAAGCTTCTGTTTTGGCTTGGAGTACTCGGTAAGTTTTATGCTTTAGCATCCTTGCATGCGTGTGAGTGACTGCCATGAATAGCATGCTTACCATGAGGCTAATTACTTATGTGATATAACTGCCTGAATGCCTGTGGGTGAAGGTTGGATTATTTGGATTGGAACAATTCGTTGACTGTGAGTTTTAAGCCCATTAGATAGTGGCAAAATCATGTTTTTTTTTAAAGTCCACCCGAGGGTGGCAAATCCACGTCTTAACCTACTTGCGGGTAGCACCATCAAACCATTTTCAAACAAACAAACATGAAATGTTTTGTTCCAATTCAGGCGATCCAGTCTATACTTGTATGCTGTGCGCATCACATAGTAAATCTAGGCTAATAACCGGAATAAGAACGCATAATATTTTCAAAAATAGATATCATGGTTAGTAGAGGCCGATCTTTGATCGGGCGAGCAGGGGTGCTCACAAAGTGACCTTCCCCAATCGTACCCAAGTTCCCGAGCCGAGGCAACTTTGGTGATGACGGACACGTGGCCTTAGGCAAACGAGTCAGGGTTTCCTAAATTTCCCAAAATAAAATATTTAGGTGGTGACTCTGTATCTGGCAAAGCAGTCCACGTTTGACACTTCTTTTTTAAAAATCTATTTTCTCAAAACGATTTGCCGGATTTGGACTCTTTTGGTTCAGATTTGGAACCGTGACAATCATTTGAGTCCGAACTGTAGTGAGCCCAAATGAACGGAGCGGGACTCATCCTCCCGGGGCGTTCGGGGACGTCTACATGGATGAACTGAGATACTAAGATATAGCGCTATCATATCTGAATCCAAGATGTTCGAATAACATGACAAGAGTTCTAGATGGTTTGTGGCTCTCTGTTTGGGTAGAGATAAGACTCTGAAGAGAGTTCATTCTAACCTGAATAATAGAAGTCCAAAATAAATATTATCCTTGTGAATGATAGAGTCTTATGAAGTAAGACTTTTAGGGGATGAGGGCACTATTGACTATAAAAGTAAGGCACCTCCGTTGGTGTAAGGTATGTTTTACTTTGTGATTATTGTAATTGAGTTGTTATCTTTGAGATAAATTGACTGACGTGATCATCAAAGTGTCTCTGGGTGGACGAGCCAGCGATGTTTGTTGTCTTCTTGTATGTAGGTGTTGGGCTTAATATTTTCTTCCGTATACCCTATGGCTAAGTTCCTTAGATCTTGGCTAGGAGATCTAGTTTGGTTGTGAGGTCAAAAATCAACAATCACAGTTTTGTTTAGTTTACTTTCATATATATATGTGTGTGTGTGTTATTTGCCCTTGTGCTTAAGGCCATAAAATCTAGTAGTTGTCCTTGTTACTGTAGTGTGTTGGAACACATGGCGAAGTTATTTGTCTAATCGATTTATGAGATTGTAATAATGTAATAAAGGGTCGAGATCCATAATGGGGATAGTTGGTATGTATGAGAGCCTGTTTTGAATGTGTAAACTTGTTTTTGATAAACAAAAGTTATTGCGAGATTCTTTTGAATTAAAATGGTTGTTCTTGTACTGTTAAAGACGATCTTTGAGAAAATGTACTACGCAAATATATTTTGGAATACGAAATGTCATTACCTATATATATATATATACACGTGGAGCATTCATGATCATAGATATTTATACGTTGCTATTGTTTAGGATCATTGGGATCTCTATTGAACCTTTGTATTCATCCCACGTTACTAATAATTTTTTAGGTATGGAGTGAAGACTTGCAGAAGACTTGAAGCTCTTTATTTGTTGGCTAGGGGACATTATAATTATAGGCAGAATGCCAATGCGTTGTAAAGAGCGTTAATCCCTTTGTTTATTTAGTTTATCGTTGTTCGTTGATGTAAGTCTATGGGCATTTATTACTGTATTTCATTTTATGTATACAAGAGAGGATATTGTAATTTATTCATTCTTTATTGTTTTTGCATTTCTATCGTTATTGAAATGAACTGATTAAAGGTTATGATAATGTTATTCGAGTAATAAAAGTTGGGGTGTTACAATCCTCTACGCTTTCATCTCTGCGGAAGCACAACGTCAACACTTAAAAATGATTTCTACATAGGATGAACATATAACCTAGCAAAAATAATCTTAAAAGAGTGCATGAGTTTTAATATAATCACGATGGTGAGATGCAACGAGTTTTAAGCCATGTTATTTTATATAATTTTTTTATGTTCGTACATTATTTTTTCAGAACTTCTGAATTAGTCTTGTAGTGCTGCATATTTCACCATACATAACCACTTGTTCTAGATACATCTTGCCTCCTACCACATTCTTCTCATTTTGTAACTTCTCTTAACTTCGGAGAAGAAGAACATGGCTCATATCTTGCAATATCAAGTGTTCTAATGACTAGATCCACTCTAACATTGACACATGTACTGTACATATAAAATAATAATACTTTTAATTTAAATAATTCTATACAAGTAAATATATTTTACTAACTGTGGCACCTATAATATTAATGTAGTGAACCTTGTTTCAAGTTCTAAAGTAAAAAAACTCATAAATACACAAATAACTAAATAAAAATTAAAAATTAACATACAAGGCACGGTGTAGTGTAGCACACAAAGGGTTAATTGAATCCTGTTTAGATAATTAACTTGAGACAATTTGATAATATAGTTTTCTTTTTTTGGATCATAATTTGATAATATAGTTTGGTGTTGATGTTTTCTACCTATGTGAAACATCAACCAAACATGAAACGTTAATATTATAATAAATGGTACCATCTATGAGAGATTAATCAATTTACAAAACAAACAATAATCAAAAACCCCATTTTTACAAACTGAAGAAGCTAAGTGAAAGCAGAGACGGCGCTTCCATGCACACACTTATTCTCTGATAAAGAACAAGATGAAATAGTCGTTTCGAATATTGCACATCCATATCCATTAAATGGAATAAACCAGCAAAAGAGTAGGCATCACATCAGTACTTATTTTGTTGCTGCAATTGTGAGGACACAGAAAGCTCATTCGATCTCAAGAAGCCATCCCTTCTTGTCTTCTATAATACCTGTTTGAATCCCTACAAGTATGGAGTACAGATCTCGACTAACAAGCTGACCTTCTATTTTGTATTCAACTCTGCATATACAAAGACATGAAAATCGAAGCATTTGGTTAAGTTTTGTTTGGAAGTGCTAAAGATGTTTCTAAGCCTTCAATCCTTATCTATTGTTATTAGCATTTTTTTTTTCGTTGGTAGTGTCTTCACATTATCAATGTTATTAATTTGCATAATACCTTCTTATCCTAATTATCCTGAAATCTTTTAAAATTTGATTCTAAATCATCTATTAATAGTAAAAAAAAGAATCTGCCCTCTCTAGCACTTAATATTAACGAAGAGTTAACAATTAAATGACAAAAGATTTAGTCCACTTCAAATGCAAATCAAATCTGAAATCTTAGACAGTATAATTACCTAAAATGGAAAACTAAAAGAATTTTGTTTTGAAGTTTTTACAATTAAGCTCATGATTCATTTTTGATCGATTTGTGTTTTTTACCATATGATGCCAAGAGAAAAATGTAACTAGCATAGCCACACATACCTTCTACCCTTATATGTGATATTACCTACAGGAGCAACACCAACAGCAGTTCCTGTGCAGAAAACTTCATCACCATCAAGCAATTCCTCCACCGGAACAGCACGTTCCTCAACCTGGTTTGGGGAAATTGTTAAACAAAAAAATGATAAATTTGCAGTAGGTAAGAAATTTGACTAATATAATTGTTATGTGTTGCTAGATCAGTTACCTTGTAACCATGATCACGGGCAATGTCTATAACGGTTTTTCGTGTGACCCCAGGAAGAATAGTTCCACTGGTAGATGGAGTTGAAATAAGATTGCCCTGTGAAGGTGATATATACTTCAGTCTACACTCCACATAAAGTTGTTTAATTCTAAGAACTACAATCAAAAGAAACGTAAGTTAAAATTTTTTTTTGTAAAATATAAATACTGAAAACCAAAAATTAAAGAGTAACTTACAAATACACTCCTATGACTTGCTTAAAATATGAATTGCCTTATGTGGTTATGGAAATTACACTTGCCATAGCCCATTTTATTAATAAATCATGAAATCAATTAATAGTTTTTAATGGTGTTAAACATTTATTTCAATTAATAATTTAGGTAATTTTATTATTGTCTATGAGAGTAGTTAGGAATTTCTTTTTTTTAGTTAATTCTATTAAATAAAAAATTATGATAAGAGAGTATTTGTAATTTTTCAAACCAGGGGATGCAATCCTTATTTTAAACAAATCTCAGGAGGTGTATTTGTAATTTACTCAAACCTTAAAATAAAATAAAATCATTTGGTCTCTCCCTTCTCCATAATAATCATTTTGTCTCTTTACCTTGATGTAGAACAACTTGGTTTTCACATGATTCAAAGTCTTTGGTGGACAAAGTTAGAAATGAAGCTTGCAATTGTAGATAATTTACATACTCACTTCCATATTCAAGGAAGGAAAAATGGTTACTAACGTAATTTACAAGAAATTTTATAAACAGGAACCTTTTTATTTTTTATTTTTTTTGAACAAATAAACAAGAACCTAAGTTCAACATTACCTTCACCACAAAAACGTTACAAGAAGTAGCCTCCTCTATGTTTTTCTTATGAACCGAATCAAGGTATATCACATCAGAAAATCCTCTGTTCTTTGCTCTAGTTAATGCACTCAAAACCTACAACAACAACAACACCAACCAAAAAAAAAAAAAAACCGATTATGATTAGTTGAGGATCCGTTAAAAAAAAAAAATGCATCCACAACCTTATTTTAGTTCTTGGAAATGCAGTATGAGCCATAAAAGGCGTTCAAACATTATTTTTTGCCAAAGAATCATAGTATGACAATATGTTTAAATTAACTAGTATATACTTCAAAAACTGATTTGCATTCATCTATACTATTGTATAAAGTGTACAGGTCAGAACATGAAGTTTGGTCACAATTTTTTCCTCTACGAAATTGTCCTTATCTGATTGCCAAAATAGCTCTTTTTAGATCTAACTTATTCAAATTTAATTGTTGTCATGATTTATCTAACTATTTCACACACACAGTGTGTGCCCACGCTTATAAGCCGTCTAATTCCATGAAATAATTGTGCCTTCAGGTTCCCATATTTCAAAATTCACATAATATCATACGGTTGGAGAGCATTATGTAAAGGAGAATCAATATTTTTACAACTGAGGAGCGTCGTTATGAAATGAAAATGATAAGCCAATCCCAATTGCCTTACCCAAAAAAAGAAAAAAATCCTTCATTCAGATAAAAATAAAGTAAAATTGAAGATGTTGATAACTTGTTGGCATTTCACATAGAGAAGATGAATGGATTTGTTTACCGGGGCATAATTGGTGATGGACTTGACACCTCCAACTCCACCATGAGTGGCACGATGGAATTCATCCTCGATATATAAGTTCAATGGTGACAAACCTTCCTGTATATACAGAACACAAGACCATATATAAACTTCTCTGTTAATTATCAAGGAACAAGAAAGAAAAATAAAGAAACAGAGAGAAAGATAAGATGAGACCTTGAAATAGTTGCCAACTGGGGAAGCATAGACAAGGAAGGTATATTCAAGTGATGGAGCCAAACCCAGTATAGGCCCACTTCCTATGAGCAAAGGCCTTATATAAAGAGACCCTTTTCCCATAGGCGGAATCTAATCAAAATTTCCCAAAAATAAAAAAATAAATAAAAATTACATACTACATAAAAAAATTACTTATGGTATACATGCATATTTTGTTGTGAGGGAGAGAAAGGATTACCCAACGCCTGTTAGCGAGAGCAGTTTGTTTAATGGCATGAATGAATTGAGAAATGGAGGGGGAGGGCATGCACATTCTTTCAGCGCCGAACTGCATTCGGATTGCGTTCTGATCTGGGCGGAAGAGGAAGACCCTCCCATCTTTTCTCCTGAATGCTTTTGTTCCTTCAAACAACCCCTGTTTTGGATTTTCAAACCAACAATACAAGGTGCCAAAATAAATGAATTATAGAGACACCTTATTAAATCACATTTTTGCATATGGATGTTACCACTATTTTACATGCGAGAATATGATTATTCTCTAATAGGTTCTCTGATTTCTTACGTGATTATAGTATTATATGTGAGGCATATGGTCTTCTGTTTTTAGATTTATGTTATTGTGTAATGGACACAATTATTAACTGAGTAATGTCAAACTAACAATTAAGAAAAAAAGAAAAAAGAAAAGAGAAGATAAAATAGCATTGAGCTATTCCTATCAAATGACTCTAGTAGTCCAACTTAAATTTTTGTTAATGCACATCACATAACTATGCAAATAAAATTTATAAAAAACAAAATTAAAAAATTGTATAATATTACTTTGTCTCTGGACTACTTTTTCCTGGACAACACATAAACTTACTTTAAACTTTGATCCTAACTTTTTCAGTTGGCTACTCTTGTACAACTTCCACCTAGAAAGTCCAAGGGTCAATCTTTTCCCTATTTTTTTTTTATCAGCAAAGAAAAATTCTATTTTGAGATTTCATCATATATTTTTTTTCCTCGTCATTATGGGACTCTTGAAATACTTCTACCGATTAACCAAAACACTTGGACGCTAACTTGTCAAGTAAATGCATTATTTAAAAATTACATAAGCCTCGTTCAAAAAAAAAAAAAAAAATTACATTAGCTGAGTTTACAATGTCCAAAATTTTCTTTTTTTCTCTTTCTCCTTCTTCCTTTTGTTTTTTTTTGTTTTTGTTTTTGTTTTTTTGAAATGTCCACAATTTTCAGTTGTCCAAATTCTTGAGTAGGCAATAATTTTAGCTCTCAAATATTATTCACACAGACTTGGATTTACTTTTTTCCCACTTATTTCACCATTTTTGGCCAAGTAAATGTGTATGGTAAAAGAATCTTGTACAATTTGAAGAACTACAAGAATCATATTCGAGGGATAGGAATTATACGTAAAATATGTGTGACATTTTGTGAGTTAATTAAGAGTAACAAAACATGAAAGCATTTGAAGTTGAGATTGGGGAGGGAATTGGGGGGTGGAGCTTCTCACCTGGCCATAGTTCAAGACTGGGTTATAAAATAGAATTGATGTCCTAAAAGGTCTCCTATTTCTTTATTTATTTCTCACCCCCTTTCTTTTCCCATATATTTTTTATTATAACCAAACATAAATAGGATTACATTTCTCATTTCTTTTCCAAATCCCACCCCAAAAACCTCAACCAAACACAGCATAAGAGTAACAAAACATGAAAGCATTTGAAGTTGAGATTGGGGAGGGAATTGGGGGGTGGAGCTTCTCACCTGGCCATAGTTCAAGACTGCGGCAAAAGGGTTCAATTCAATGTTTCCATAGGGGTTAAGTTGGCCTTGTTCGAAAATCCCATCTGCCAAGCATTTTGTCACATACATATAATCGGTCGGCTTGGCACTGAATCCAAGATTGTTCCAATCAATATCATTGTCCTCATCGTCACTACTACTGCTTTTCATACCACAAAGCCGATTCAGGAAGACGAAGAAGTAAACGATTAACTGATATTTTGATTAATGAAAAAAAGATATATTATACTGACATTTTCTATAGATTTGGAGAAAATACAGTAAGTTTCATAATTTTAATATAATTATACTAACTTACTTTTAGAAAGATTAAAAGCGCTGAAAGTAATGTAAATATTATAAAGACACAAGAACAAATAAGAAAAAATATAAATTTTCGTGTACAACTAAAAATGCATTCAGTTTGTTTGGTTCTGGATTTAATTTTTTAGAATTGAGTTTTTTGTTTTTAGTGAATATTTTTAAAATTTTAAACAATTTTTTTACTTTTTTAAATGTACATTACTTAGATGTACCTAAAAAGTAAAATATTTGTAAAAAAAAAATCTAAAAATCAATAAATACACAAGAATACAAAAAATGTACTGAATTCTCTTTTTTTTTCTATTTTTGGTATTTAGTGAATTTTCTAAAGATTTTTTTTATAAATATTATACTTTTTAAGTGTATTTATGTTAAGTGTATCTAAAAATTAAAAACAAACTGCATAGAATATTAAAAATATTCATTAAAAAAAAGGAAAAAAAAAATTCAATTTTCTAAAAAGTAAATCCTAAAAATCCAAACCAAACAAGCTGATTATTTTTTCATTTGTATAATTAACAAATTATGTTAGATTATTTTGTGTAATTTTACTTAGAGTTTATCAGGGAAAAATAATTTAAATAAACTAAAAAGTTGATTGCCAACAAATTATGAGAGAAATGGAAAAATAATTTAAATAAACTAAAAAGTTGATTGCCAACAAATTATGAGAGAAATGCTTTTAATTATTTACCTTTTAATTATCAGTTTTTAACTTATAAAATCTTTCTCCTATCTGGAAAAAAAAAAAAGAAAAAAAAAATCCTTATAAAATATTTCTGATATATGCAGTTACCGGTGAGCAGATGGTTCGAAGGCTTGTTGGAGGGAAGATGCAGCCCGAGATGCATAGTAAGCTCCAATCTGCAAAATAAACATAAAAACATAAAAACAAATATATATATATATATATATATTCATAGAAACAAGAAGATTGTATACAGTTTTCATTTTGTTTCTTTCTGATCGGTGATTACTCAAACCGTTTGATGGAATGGTTGTTCAGATCATTCAGCACAAAAACCTTGATACAACCATCCAAAGGGCTGTTTGATAATAAGAAAACAGACGTTAAAAATATTTCTTTCTTAATTTTTTTTTTTTTTTTTTCTTCTTCTTCTTCTTAACTTCTCGATATCTATATTTTAATTCATTTAAGTTATATTTGTTTTATAAATAATAAATAAAGTTGTATCAAGCATTATAGCATATATTTTTTTTTTTCTGTTTATTTTTGAATAAAAACACTGATAAACAATCCTTATAAGCAGCCCCATATAATAGTTGAAACTTATAACATTAACAAAATATTCTTTTGACTTTCTTTTATCCTCTGTTTGAATATTATTCTTGTTTTTATTTTCAAATTCCTTGGGATTGTTAAGAACAGATACTAAGGAGAAGTCAAAGAGCAACCTTAGATAAAGAAGAGAAACTAGAAGATCTGATGGAATTGAGAAAGCAGAGACTCCTTTGCATCATGTTTGGTTGTCTTTGCTCTCCTGATACAAAGCAAAAGCAGTGTTGACAATACACAGAGAGGCTAACTGACAGCAAACTATTTTGGAGAGTGTGAGGGCATCCTCTAGAGAGCCTTATGATCCCGTTTGTTTTCAAAAGTATAATGGAAGAGATTTGTCGTGAGAACGTTAATAATGAGAGGATTAATAGTGAAGAGATTAAGTAAAATTATGTTTATTTTGATGATAGTTATTAACGTAGAAATTGTTAAATTATTTTTATATAAAATAATAAAAAAAATATAAAAAATTAAACATTAATGTTTAAAAAAAAATTCTCAATATGTAAAAAATAAATTTTTTTTTAATCCCCTCACTATTTTTCTAATACTACCTCCACCTCTATCTCCTCCATCCGAATCCCCCTTCTAACCTCCATCTTAATCCTCTCTTTCATTCTAATCTCTTCCTCAACACTACAAACAAAGACAACACTAAGCCTGTGTTTGACAAGTGGGTTTGCAGGCTTTTTTGGCTATTTTAGCCACAAAAAATAAAATAGGTTATTTTAGCCATAACAAACAAAACATCACATCCAACCCATAATCATTACCTTCTTCTCTCACAAAAAAACTCAAAAAAGTCAAAAAGCCAAAAAGTCCTTCCCAAACCAAGCTTTTAAGCCCAGGCTAAAATAGCCAAAAAAGCCAAAAAGTCAAAAAGCTAACCCACTTCCCAAACGGAGGCTAAATAACCCCACATCCATCCTAATCTCCTCCCATCCATTATACTCCAAAACAAACTGGCCTATATGGCAAATAAGAAGCTTAGACACCAAAGAAGTACTTAGAAAATTATTCAGAATTTTAAATTTTTTTGTTGTTATTGATTGCAAATTTTGGACAAAATTATTATTATTTTATTATTTATTATTTTTTAAATAAAGAAAGGGATGCTACTTGATATTGAAGTAAGAGCATCTCCAACGGTAGTAGGCATTTTACCTATCTGAATATTACTATAAAGTATATATTTTATTTTGCCTATCAACTGTTTTATGTTTTTACTCCAACCATGCTCTTTATTTTAGCTATTTATCCAAATACTATTAATTTTATAGAATGCCACGTCAACAATAAAGATGGAGGGAAATGATCCTAATGATTGAATACATTTTGCCTAGCGTTGAAGGCTAGCTACATGTAGCTAGTGAATATGAGTTGAGGCAAAATGCCTAATCATATACCTAGTGCATTTGAATTGAAAAAAGTGAATCACATTAGGCATTTTAACTAACAAGTATTATATGCCTAGTGCATTGGAGATGCTCTAAGTGGTTTGTGCGATGGCAGAAGAAGATATTACATCATCACTAGATTGGGCTTGACAGCTATTTTTTTAGAATACAATGCTAAAAAACTTGATACCTTTAGCAAATGCTAAAAAATAGCTTTGTTATTATTGAATATTTAACTCAGTAGTTGTCTAACACGGTTTGTGGTATGAGGTTTAACTACTATTTGTGGTGGTGGTTTATTTCTTCTCAATTATGGGGTTGTACTAGGATGTTTGGGATGGATTAAGGTTAAAATAGTTAATAAAATAAAATATTCTATCAAATTATTCTTTTTACCTTTTTACTAGGAATGACAATGAAAGGTAATGAGGTGGATATTAATTCTTCATCCTCATTTCCTTATTGTAATTTTTCCCCACTCTCCATTCCCCATCTCCCATGGGGACTATCCTCTCTATCCCCTAATGGGTTTGGTTTTTCCCAACCCAACTTTACCCCTTTTTTTTTTTTGTTTGTTGCTAATATATTTTTTTTTCAATGTACACAGCCAAAGCCAAAGCCAAAGCCAAAGCCAAATACACATTCATTTTTATTTTTTTAGTTCAACAACTAAATCAAATACATATTAATTAATTAAAAATCTTATTTAAAGTAATCAATTTTATAATCTTAAAACAACCAAACAAGTTTTTAGGAACCCAAAAAAAAAAAAAAAAAAAAAAAAAAAAAAAAAAAAAAAAAAAAAAAAAAAAAGAAGAAGAAGAAGATGTTAATATGGACTGCCAACAAACTCTTGAATACCCAAAGCCCTTCAAGGATGGAATGACTGGACCAGCTTCTGTTACTTGCTTTAATCCCCATATCTAGTGATTGTCTGCTCGGAAAATCACATAACAGAATTTTCTCTCGTGGGAAACAGAACCTCCCCTTCCCGATCCCACATTCCAGCAAAACGCACCTCAGGAAACTTGTTTGTTTCTTAGGAAACTCTCTCTATAAATTCTCCATCGGTTCATTCTTCAGAGTCCTCACCAAGATGTCCAATTTGAAAGTACTCTCACTAGTGTCCTTAGGCTCATGGGGTCAATTACCCACAACGATCAACCAACTAAAATCACTCGAAAAATTGAATATCAGTTCGAATTTCATCTCCGAAGAAATTTCTGGATCGATTTCAATTTTGACAAATCTCACGAGCGTTGTTTTGGCTGACAATCTCTTCAATGGGAGTGTTCCAGACATGAAAAGCTTACAATCTCTTCAAGAGATCGATTTAAGTATCAATCGCCTCGTGCCTGAATTTCCATCTCTGAGTACCAATCTTGCAACAATCAAATTAAAAAACAATTCGATTGTGATGGCTGTGGAACGATTAGTTTTAAGGAGTTTAAGGTTATGATGATCAAAGGATCTCGTTTCGCTGCCATGGAAGGATAGAGAACAAATACTGTTAAGATCGATTGATCAGAGAAACCGATCGATTTAAGTATCAATCGCCTCGGGCCTGAATTTCCATCTCTGAGTACCAATCTTGCAATAATCAAATTAAAAAACAATTTGATTGTGATGGCTGTGGAACGATTAGTTTTAAGAAGTTTAAGGTTATGATGATCAAAGGATCTCGTTTCGATGCCATGGAAGGATAGAGAACAAATACTGTTAAGATCGATTGGTCAGAGAAACCGAGATCATCATCAACAGTACATGTTTCATTGATTTTCTTATTATTATTATTGTTTCTCAATTATTTGACTTATATATAAATTTTCTTTTCTTTTCCTTTTGGTTTTCTGGAGATAGAAAATTATTGGAATGCAAGGATTTGGAGAAAGTGTGAATACATGATTGGTCTCTGTATTATGATTCATTTATGAAATTTATTATTACTTTTAATTTAATATCAATGTTTGGTTTGTTTCTTTTTTTCTTTCCATGTGGTTTGGTTTATCAATTGCTATGCTTTATTGTCTATTCTGTATTTTATTTTGATTTTGAATAATTGATTGCATGGAAAGTTTGTTTGGCTCGTAAGAAAATTTATTACAAAGTCATGAATCTCTGTAAGCTTGAAGAATCTGAAGAATTTAGGCCATGTTTGTTTGGGCGGACTGGATTAGCATTCCCATGACTAATAGTCCTAGGATTACGAATCCATTGGATTATGTATCCTATCTTAACTAATAGTCAAGTTTAAAATAATTAATCCCTACTTTAATTGTTTAACCAAACATCGGATTAATAATTTTATTGGACTATTAGTCCAATCTCAAGCTCATGTCCACCCAAACAAACATGGCCTTAGAGTGAGAGAATGAGAGAGAGTGAGAATGAAAAACCTAATTGTAGACAGGGATATGGGAAAATGGGCAGTTACACATCCTTGATCCATCCCTAATGGGGATTTAAACAATGGGCATGGCTTCTGTCCAGTCCTTAATCGAACTGGACCGTTCTGTTGGGTTCGTGAGGTTCCATCACGGGTCCCTTTTTGATAATCCGAACCGTTCAATATGTAGAACTCGTCGAGTACTATATGTTTATAAAAAATCACGTTAATCGGATATCGATAGTTATGTGATCAAATCAGTTTTGTATAAAAAAAATGGATAGTGAATAAATTAACGGTTGACAAAAATCTGTTTTGATCATATAGCTATCGATATCCGATCAACGTGATTTTTTACAGACATATAATACTCGACGAGTACTACACATTGAATGGTTCATATTATCAAAACGGGATCCGTGGTGGGTTTCCACAAGCCCAACAACACGGTCCAGTCCGATTAAGGACTGGACAGAAGCCATTTCCTTAGACAATATCACCTACCCAACCCAACGGGTAGAAAAAATAGAGAAATCTCATGTATTTGGGTCGGGTTTCTGTGGATATCCACTAAATAGGTTATCTATTGCCATCCTTACTTTTTACACGTCTTTTTATAAAAAAATTAAAAAATCAACTAAAATAGTTCATTCCTAAACATGATTATGTTAGGTATTGTTGACTTTTTAATTATTAACGACTAGTAGCCTATTTGATGATGTAAATATTTTTTATATTTGAAATTGCTCTCGTATCGATTGAAAAAAAAATAAAAAATATTGGTAAAGCTTAGGTAAGTGTAAATTTTTATATCTTTCTAAACTAGGACATGAAAATAGAAAAAAAACAAAAATAAAAACAAAAACAAAAACAAAAAATCACTGCAATAAAGAAAATGGAAAACATATCCGGAAGTCTTATCCCGGAAAATATGTACTAGGAAGTCTTACAAATTGTTTTATAGACAATTTAATTATTTTTAAATTTAACATAAACATATATTGATATAACACTTTCACAATTGATTATAAAATTAACATCTCTTCGAAAATCCAAATAATCCTATTACTGAAAATTAGTTACATCCAACAAAATACAATAAAAATCTAAGGTCTTATTTGTCATAACTTAAAAAAATTAAAAAGTTAAATGGTCACTATCCTATTTAAGTCATATCGCATCTCTATCATATCATTTCAAACCCAACCCATACTCAACTCATATTTTATAAAAAATCAAAAAATACATTTATTTAGGTCATCCAAAACCACCCCTATATATATATAGCTTACATGGTAGTTTATTATTAAATAGTAATATTATGTGTTATATAATATCATCGCAACAATAAATTTTTATATAAAAAAGGAAGAAAAAAAAAAAGGAAGGAGGATTGATGTTATAAAAAACTAAATATAGAAAATGTAATGGTGTGTATTCCTTAGGGTGTATATTATATGTATCTTATCACAAAATGTATAATTTTATCACAGAATTTCATAATATTAATTGCAAAGTGTGTAATTTTATTACAAATTGATTGAACAAAATGTTTATAATTTTGTGGTTGACGTTACGAAAGTTTGTGATTATGATTTTTTTTTAATGTAAATTTGTAATGAAATTATATATTTTATAATTAATATTACGAAATTTTATAATAAAATTATATATTTTATGATAAAATTACGTACGGTATACAGTAATAACGTGGCGCACGCTATAAGAGAACCCAACTTATATAGATATTATTGAATTGGGGGCTTTCACTTCACATCAAATAGCTTTCTAATGAATGGGGCTTTCACTTCACATTAAATAGCTTTTTAATGGAAAATAAAATATCATATAACTGTGCATTATTATGGGTAGAGATTGCTAAGGTAAGGTAAGAGAGAAGACGAGCAAGGATCTTCTAGAATTTTGTTTTTTTTTAAATTTTTTAGAATGGTGTATTGTGTGGTTAAGATTTAATGATAAGTTACATTAATTTTTTAGTATTAAATTTCAATCACACAATATACTACTTTAAAAAACTTTAGAAAAAACACTCTAGAAGATCTTTGGTGAGAAAAAATGCCCATGAAGAGTAGAAAAGTGAACACGGAACCAACATATTAGCCCCGTTTGGTAGAGTTATGTGAAAGTGATTATAACTTATAGCCTATTGCCTATGGTTTATAGCTGTGAACATAAGCTAATTTTTGACTTATAAATTAAGCTTCTCCACCCCCATTCAAAGAATAAGTTGATTTTGACTTACAAAAAGCTATAAGCTGTATTGTTAAGCTGAACCAAACACATCAAAATAACTTAAATTAAGTTAAAAATTGAAATAAATTGAAAATAAACCCTACCAAACAGGAATATTATTGTATTGCATGCATCATCCTCTTCGAAGTGGATAGGGAGTTTGTTGGTGGTACGCATCAATCACTAATTTAAAAGGTAATAGTAATGATAGAGAGTGTTAGAGTTAGAATTTTAATTTCAATTTTAGTGATGTAATAATGCATAAAAAAAACAGTCCCGCTGCATACCCCAGTGGGGGTCGCGCCCCCAGTGACATGGCGCGCCCCCACTGGCTGAAAACTCAAAAAAAAAAAAAAAAAAAAAAAAAAAACAATTTTTTTTTTTTGGCCAATCCCAGAGTGACACCTTACTGGGGGTCGACCCCCAGTGGGGGTAGGAAGCATTTTTGTAAAAAAAAATACAAAATGATAAATTAAAATATCAAATCATAAAATGCCACCCACTCTTAGAACTCCCACTAGAGTTCCTTATTATTTAGAGATTTAAAACATTTTTTATTTAAAAGGCGTTTCAAAACCCCCACAGTTTTACATCACATGTTATTACAAGTAAAAATTAAGACAAATTACACCATGATGTTTGGTTTTAAGAACAAAAAATTGTTGTTCAATATATATATATTTTTTTTCAAATTCCTTTTACTTTAATAGCTTCGCTTTAATAGTTAATTTTTAAAAGTACCTAATTTGTATATCTATTGCTACTTCAAAAAATACGAAATGTTTTCTACTTTAATGTCCTCACTAACATTTGGTTAGATGCCATGCCATCGCTATCTGATCATTCATTATCTGTATAGCCACAACTTTCACCAAGAGTTACAACTTTCATTTTTCTTTTTTTGTCGGCCATCAGTTGCAAAAAGAATCGTTGCACCAATTCAAACAAAGAAAATAGCATGGCAAGTTATATCAGAACATGGGTTCCGTGTCAACACGCATACTTCAGGAAAATAAATAGTAAATAGGAAATAAAATAAAAAGGGAAACTTTCAATAAATCCTAATAATTGGATTTAATTATCATAAAATCTTATTGAAAATAAGTTTTAGTGAAATTATCGCTAAAAATAATTTTTTATGACAATTTTTTACATGTCACTAAAAATTAACAATTAATGACTTTTTTTGTCACGATTTTTATAAATTGTCGCTAAAATGCACAATTCGTGATGTTTTTCTGTGATGAATTTTTTAAACTGTTGCTGAAAGTTTAAAATTAATGACTTTTTTTGTAACAATTTTTTAAAACTTTAGCTAAAATTTATAATTAGTAACTTTTTTGTGACAATTTTCAAATTGTCGCAGAAAATTAACAATTGTTGACATTTTTTTAATAGTGTTTGATGAAAAATAACGTTAATCATCATAAAACTTATTGAATAATAAGTGCACTTATTAAAATTTCCACGTAAGTCTCCTACATAAAAAAAAATAAAGAAGTATCCGTGTACGATCTAATAACAGCCATGGCTTTTGGAAGTGGCAAAGCCGCTGCTGAAGAAAGAGATTTTGGAATTATTGTTTGAAGGAGAAGGGCTTTTTCACCATTGTCCAGGGCTGGCCTAAGCCTTCATAAGGCCAAAAGTCAAATTTTATTGTGAGACTTTTTATATTTTAAACTTAAATGTAAATAATATTTATTATTTTTAGTAAATTATTCTGTAAAATTCATATGTCTCTTCTATTTTCATGTCTAAAATTTGGAAGTTATTTAAAATATTTAGCTATGAAAATAATAATAATAATTGAAAGTGCCAAAAATTAGGGTGCTCGGACTAAAATTCCAATTTTGAATTTTGTTTGGTGAGAGGTCTAGGCGCTGAATTAACTTGTTCATAAAGACAAGTTCAGGTTAAATGACCAAAATACCATTTTGTCATGTATATATATATGACATACACTGCCAAAAAATCAAAATTGGTCTCCTCCTCTCTCTCTCTCTCTCTCCTCTGTTGCATCCTTTGACGCCTCCTCTGGTGGACCTCTACCCCGGCAAGCTTACAACCACCTCCGATGCCATTGGCGTCTTCACCGCTTGATCTAGCCACCAGATTTCACCACCCTCACTGAAAAAATGCTTATGCCGAGCAGAGATCTACACACCAATAGCTTCGCCGGAAATGTGCCTCACAAATCTATATACAGGGTGCTTCGATCCACCTCAACTGGTGGAGATTGCGGTGGTCCATGACAGTGATGACGAAGATGAACCCTAGGCGATCGAGCTCTTCCTCCTACAACTTCAGATTTAAGTAGATCTACTCTATTTCGTCTATATATATATATATACTGTGACAACCCCACTACGTATAATGATTAGCACTTAATTAATTAAGGAGATTTGAATTTTAATTATTCATTATGCTGATTTAATTTGGAATTTATGAAAATTATGGTGACTGATTTGTATATGATTTTATTAAGGATTTATGTTGGAATTTTGAAATTGAAAGCCTAAATGGCTCAAGAGAGTACAAATGGTGAATTAAATTATTTTAATTTTGAGTATCGGATCATGTGGGAGTTTAATTAATTATTCGATCAAATTTGTGAAATTGAGACTTGATTACACTACAATAAATGACACTTTCCATTTTTGGTCGCCGAAACTAATTAGCGACTAATTTTTTTTGTCACCAAAGTCGTCGCCTATACTTTGTCGACGATAGTATTGGCGACTAAACTATTTTTGGTCCCTGAAAGTGAACGTTTTGGCTACTAAACTTTGGTTAGTCGACAAAGGTTATCTTTTGGCAACGAAAACATTAGTCGCCAAAAGTGAACATTTGGCTACGAAACTTTGAGTAGTCGGGGAGGTGATATTTTGGCGACTAAATGACTAAATATTTAGTCGCCAAAAGTGTTCAAATAAAATTAATTTAATTTTCAGTGACTAAAACTTTTAGTCGCAGATAAGTTTTAGTCACAATGTTACTACATTTAGGGACTAAAGAATTTAATCGCCAAAAAAATTATTTTTCATTTTATTTTATTTTTTGCTACTAACCATTTGGTCGCCGAAAGTCTCATTTATTTCTGGCTACCAAATATTTAGTGGCTAAAAATATTGATTTCCTTTTTCGCTACCAATTGGTTAGTCACTAACAAATTCACTTTTTTTTTTTTGGCTACTAAACATTTAGCTGCCAAAAACTTTATTTAGCATTTTTTTTATTATAATTAATTTCTCCACAACCTGTATTTATTTCGTGCAACCTACACCCTGTATATAAACAAAATAATACATATATCTATTTCTATTTCGTTTCAACCATACAAAAATTTGGTCTTTTAACATCAAATTCTATACAAATCAAATATAATCCAACCCAAAATAATAATTCCATACAAACAGAGAATCATACAAAAAAGATGTCCTCTGTACACAAAATTCTACATCAAATGTCATTTACAGAATATTTTGAAGGTGTAAAGATGATGGGAAAATTAAATTTATTTACTAAAACACTTGCTTAATTTAACAATGAAGCCATTGATCTAAATGAAGCCATTGATCTAAAGGCTTCTCATTCTTCAAGCTTGCTTCATATAGTTTGGTACCTTTCTTTCTGAAGACACCAACTGCAAAATAATAATCAACCTCCCAATCAGTGGAAGCATTTAGCAAATAAGTATAGATAATTAAACAATCCAAAAACTCAAGGGATTCAACCTTGCCTTAATAACCATGGATTGCTATAGCACATTATCGAGATCCACCATTATAAAATATGATCACTAATTTAAATTTATTAGAGCCTAATCATGGCCAATATACTGGCTTAGTCCTTGCCCCCACTTTTGCATCACTTTCTCTAAATCAAAACAAAGTCGGACAAAAAAAAAAAAAAAAAACCAATTCCCTACCATGAACAAGAAAAAAACCAATTCCCTCTCAAAACAAAACTAATAAGTATATAGATGTATTTATATGTATATAAATCGAGCGATATAGATAGAGAGAGAATTACCTTCAACTTGTATCGAAGCCCTAGCATTGTGATTGCTCATAGTCCATAATGAGGGAAATTAGGAACCTGCCTTGTAGTAGGTTTCTATCTCTAATCTAGGTGTGCGATATTTTCGCGCCAAACTTTTTGAGTTTTTCAATATAATGTTTTTTTTATGGGTTCAATATATCTTTTTTTTTTTTTTTTTTTGTATATATTATCCCAACAATAACATTTTTTAAATGTCATTAATCCTTAATTTGTGTAATTTTTCACAATATTTATAAAAGGTTATTAAAAATTACAATTCAATGCTATAAATATCTAAAGTTAGCACCTCAAGTCATTTAATCACAAAAATGCTATAAATGCTCCATAATTAATAACATTTTAATAAAAACTACAATAAAAATATGTTATTAAAAGTACTATTTGTTGTAGTGGCTGGTAAAAAAAAGAAAAAAAAGAAAAGAAAAAGTGTGATAAAGGAATAAATCAAATCAAACAAACCATATAGATCAGAGTTCTTCCTCTCTAGAAGCAGACAGAGAAGAAATTGAGGAGCCCTAGGAAGTTTGGATTGTATATCTTCAAACATTTTTTCCACTCTAACAAGAGGTGGGGCCCGCCTATTTTGTGGACTCTCTTCAAATACATTAAACAGAGCATCAATTTGCTACAAAAACAAAACAAAAAAGATTTGTATTTTAAATCATGTAGTACTGAACCTAAGTTAAGCTAGCATAAATGACAGGACATACAATTCCCTTTGACCATGTTTGATTCCACAAGACTAATAGTGAGGTATTAATAATCCTATCAAATTAATGTGGTATTCACAATCCCACCCCTAGCCCATTACTAATAATCCTACAAATTTGTTGAATTAATTATCCATTGGATTAATAATCCTAAAACAAAATGTCAAAACAAACATGGGATAATTAGACCCACGGATTAATAATCCCAATCTCATGCTCTAATCCTTCCAATCAAACATGCCCTTTATGTCTCCACATTTGATCAAATCCCTAACAAGGCCATGGATATCGCAGCGAGCGGAAAAGTTCACAATAGCCTAGCGATCGATCTTTGTTGGGTCCACTAGTTTCTACACCAGCAAAGAAAAAATTTGTAAGAACACAAAATTAAGGTTGAACTGTGCCAAGTTTTAAGAAAAACAAATAAATAAATTAGAGAGCCATGCAGAACCCAACACCGTTAATCTAAATGAACCCAAAGCCATTGGTTTGGAGAGAACAATGAAGCCATTGATCTAAATGCCACCTTCAATGAAGAGATCTATGGCTTCATTGAAATGTAAATTAAAAGCCCCTGTTCTACACAAAATCTTACAATCTGTCTCCCTAAAAATTCAGGAGAAAAAAAAGAAGAAAGAAAGAGAGAAATAATAAGATACCTGACCAAAAATAACAGCTGTATCAGTGCTCTTTAAGAGATCTATGGCTTCATTACACTTCAATGAAGCCATTAATTTACACTTCAATGAACGTAAGAGTTGTAGGCTGAGATGGTTCAACCAATTAGACCTAAGGATCAACAGAAAAGCTTTTAGTGAAGAGGAAGAAGAGAGACTAATGGCTGCTCATAGGCTGTATGGAAACAAGTGGGCCATGATTGCTAGGCTTTTTCCCAGGAAGAACTGACAATGCAGTGAAGAACCATTAGCATGTTATTTTATCATCTAAAATTGCACCTAATAACAGCTCATGAACAGGTAATTAAAAAAAACTGAAATTCAATCTCATGAGCATTGTACCTAATAACAGCTCATGAAATTGAAAAAAAAAAAAATGAAATTCAATCCCAAACTGAAATTGCACCTAATAAGAGCTCATGAACAGGTAATTGAAAAAAACAATTAAATTCAATCTGGGCACTACCAAACCTCATAAACAGATGTCAAACACATGAGCATTGTCCAGTTTCATTTGAACATTTCGTCAAACACATGGTGAGCAAAAGGGTCAGAAGACAACAACAAATACAAGCATGGACAAAACAGGCCAAGTTAGAGTAGTAGGTAGAGAAAAACAAACAAGCAAGAGCAGTAGTTAGAAAAAAAAAAAAAAAAAAAAAAAAACAAAGAGAACAAGCCAAACACCAACGACACCCTAAAACCTCTCACCGCTGCCAAGTTAAACACTAGATCATTCACCCCAAAGACCACATCCTTGCACTTATATTTGACCCACAAAGCAATTCTGAACCAAAGATTCCCATCTGACTTGAATTCCATTAAACTTGAGGTCATTACGAGCCTTCCAAATTGACCAAACCATGGCCTCCACATCTTCTTTTCCTGCTTCCCAAATTTAAACCCAAACCCCCAGTGTGACAAATTTGAAAAAGATTATGGTGTAACCCAGCGAACATTTCACCATTTTAGTAATTCAACCCATATCCTCCATATCCAAGGACAATGAATGAACAGATGCCTCAACCTTAACATGGGTCGATTTGGGGTTGGGTTTGGGTGAAGGTATGCAAATGGAAGAAGAAAACCCTAGAGGCTGAAATTAGGGAAATAGAGACTATAGAGAGGACATACCTGGGGTAATGCTCCAATGGTGGATTGAAGGTGGTGCTCGTGTGCGATGGCGGTGATGCTCCAATAATGATGGAGACAAAAGCAAGAGAGAGAGCCGGAGGAGAGCAAAGGCGTGAGAGAGAAAGAGAGTCACAGAGTGAGACGGACAGAGATGTATGAGAGAGTTAGAGCGTGTGGGAGTGTATTTCTTAAACCTAGATTATTTTCTTTCCCGACTAACGTTTTTAGTCGCCAATAATAAATAAAGGCCTTTCCTCCGACGAAATATTTAGTAGCCAATTAATTTTCCCCCCAAAATTTGAAGTCCAATTTTTAAATTTTTTAATTATAATTGCTGACTAAAATTTAGTCGCTAAAAGTAAATTAAATATCGACTAAATTATTTTTAGTAGCTAAAGATAGTACATTTAGGGACCAAATTTTTTTAGTCGCTTATGGGGTAATTTTTAGTTCTTTGGCGACTAAAATATTTTTTAATCGCTGAAAATTAATTTTTAGCAACTAAACTTTTGGTCGTAAAAGATAAAAAGTAAATTTTTATTTTTCATTTGGCGACTAAATAATTTTCGTAGCCAAAACTAATTATACAGCGACTAAAATATTTTTTAGTCACCAATTGTGGCATTTTTAGCGACTAAAATAGTTTTTAGTAGCCAATTGTTGCATTTTTACCAACTAAATTTTTTTTGGTCGCCAAAAATCAATATACCCGACTAAAACAAATTAGTAGCTAAATCTTGTACTTTTGCCTACTAATATAATTTTTGGTCGCCAATTCCATAACTTTTGGCTACTAAATTTTTTTTAGTAGCCAAATTTAGTCGCCAAAAGTGTAATTTCCTGTAGTGTTAATTGGGTCCGAATTGGAGTTAATTAAGTCATGAGGATTGAAAATTATAATTATTTTGAATTAAATTTATTTGAAAGGCATTTAGCTTGAATATGTAAATTATTGACGGAAATCTTAAGTTAATCTGAAATTGAAGGCCTTAATAATGTGAGAAACCAAAATTGAGGATGGAAATAAGTCTAATTTAATATTTTGAGCCTTTTGGGAGTTTGATTAAAAACCTGATTCAGAATGATGAATTTAAATATAATTAATTAGGCTTTAATAGAAGTCAAATTAGAGAAATTAAATTATGTGGGATTTGTGATTAGGTATGATTAATTTAATTATGTGTTAATTAAGATTTATTAAGACTAAGTGTTATTGTAGACACCCCATTTTTGACCGACCTTAAGACTCAGACGTCACCAACTGAGCGCTCAGTGATGTTGCATATTGTGCTCGTTCTGAGGTTGCGGAGTCTCGGCTGCGAGCCATGCCTCGGGACTTCGGAGCTCCTTTGTGCTTTTTCTCGGTTTGCGAACCAGGTCCTGTTTTCTCTGTTTTCTTTTCCCGAAGGGAGGGAGAGGTCTCGTAGACCATCTCTCAGTGGCCGTAGGCTACGTTTCATGGTCGTAGGCCATTTTTCCCGTTTGGAGCCCAGTTTTCGGTTTTCGAAGCCGTCGGCCGTGTGCCTCGGTTCGAGACCGCTTTAACTACCTCTGTTTGCTCCGGTTTTTGGCACACACCTTGTTTCCTCCCTTTAGAGGGACACTGTGGCCCGGGAGACCACCTTCGTGGTCATACGCCACTTCTGGTGCCTAACAGCTTGTTTTCGGGGCCCCGAACTGCGCGTTTTGGACCCCGAACCTTCGTTTTGCATCCGTCTTGGTCCATTTTTGGTAGAGACCCTATTTTCATTTCTAGGGAGGTGGTAGTATGGTGGGAGGCCACCTTTTCTCCTTGGAAACCAGCTTTCTCTTTTTCTCTCTCCTCCAGTCGATTTTTCTGACAAAAAGCTGGTTTTTCTCACTTTTGAGCCACAATTTCTGGTTTTTCATACCACCATTGTGTTGTGCTCATCTGGGAGGCCACCAATATGGGTAGGCCGACCAGTAATTCTTCTTGACCCTTTTGAACCTTGCTAAAAAGCTGGTTTTTCTCTCTCTTGGGTCACATTTTTTGGTTTTCCTCTATACAGCTGTGTTGCACTCATCTAGGAGGCCACCTTTCTGGGGTGGCCGGCCAGCATTTCTCCTTGAACCTTTTGACCCCTGGTCGGCTGACCAGAGGGAGTGGCCAGCCAACCACTTGAACTGGTCGGCCTGCTTCTTGCTTTTTGCTCTCTTTGAATGCATCACAGCTGTGCCAGCTGGGAGGCATTTGGACCATCCTCCATACACGTGTGTGGAGGATATTTGAAGCTTCCAAGAGAAGCTTTAGAGCCTCTCCTCTATAAAGGAGAGGCTTGTCTTCATTTGCAAGGGTTCAACAATTTTGAAGGCTTATACACCTCTCTCTCCCTATATTTTTACACTTGAGCTCCAAAAACCCTAATAGTCTTGGCCATTTGCACACCAACCCTTAGTACAACACCTCCACCATCCATCCAAGCATCTTGGAGTTGATTTGCAGAGGTTAAAGAACTCCCATCTTGGTCCAGAAGTTGCTGTAAATCTGCTCTTCAAGGGTGAGTCTCTATTTCCCCCTTTTTTGCATTATTTTTCTCCATTGATTAGCCTTATTTTTAAGCATTGTTGGAATTTGTCATAAACTTAAAAGTATCTTATTTTGAGTTCCTCTTGAAGTTTGATTAAGGACACTTTTCTGTTTGAGGCCATCTACCTCCTTGTATGGTTTATCCCTCTTTGTAGGCTTATTTTGCATCATATCTTAGTCCTACTTGTGAGCATTTTTGAGATTTGTCATGAACTAAAAAGAGTTTTATTTTAAGCTTATAAACATGTTTTCTTTAGGTCATTTTCCTGTTGGGGGTCATCTACCCCCTTTCATGCTTTATTTCCTCGTGTTTTGAGCTATGCATGTGAGCATTTGCATTGGCCTTGGTTTAGCCTTTTAGCCACTGAAATCCAACAAATTTTCAGTGTCTTAGATGTGTCTTTGAACTTCAAAATCATAGAGGGGTGACCCTCTCACCCCTCATTCTCTTTACTAGCTTTATTGGCCTTCCAAAGGACCCCCATTTTGAATGCTTTGAAGTCTTGCTTCAGGCCCTATTATGTGAGTTTTGAGGTCTTCCTTAGCTCTTTCCAGAGCCCTTTTGGCCATATTTTATGTCTATCATGCATGTGTGAAGCAATCCTCCTTAAGGCCTTTCAAGGGGACCTTTCATTGTGTACTTCCTTGAGCCATTTTAGGTCCTTTTTGGTGAGTTTTAGGGCTGTCATAATTGAGTTCCAGAGCTGGTTTTGCTATGCTAAGTGTCCTTGATGCATGTGTTGAGTAACCCCTTGCATGGCCCTCCAAAGGAGCTCATCATTTTTGCATGCATTGGATGCATTTCAGTGGTTCTTTGGGCATATTTTAGGATATCATGTTCCTATTTTTGGCTGGTTTGGTGACCTCTCTTATGCTTCATGTACCTGCCATGTAAACCATGCTTACTAGCCTAGTTTGCGTGTTGTTTTAGCCCCTCATGTTAGCACTTTTTGGCCATGATTTGAACTAATATTGCACATATTTTGGGATTGCCTTGGCTCTGTTTTTATACTTCGTGATCAAATAATGCTTGCTTTGCATGATTATAGTTCAATGCATTTGCCTAGTTTTGAGTTTTAGGGCCTCTTTCATGCATTGGGTGCCATATTTCCATGATTCGGGATCATTGCGCATCATATTTCAGTGCTGGAAATTGCATGTTTGTATGCCATCTTTCATCCATTGCCATGCTTTGGTAGAGTGGCATTTGATGCCTTAGGTTCGGTCCTTGGTATTTGTGCATGTGTGCACGTATTTCGGTTGTCTCATTTTCATCTAATGGTCGTTGATGTGAGTGTGGCTGAGGTCCACTCATGTTACTGTAAGTCCATCGTGCATTGTGTATTCCATTTCGGTCCATAGCATTGTGTATGCTGAGTTGCATATTAGAGCATTGTGTATGCCATGTTACATCGAGCATTGTGTATGCCATTTCATAGCATTGCGTATGCTAGGTTGTATGTTAGTCGCATTGTGTATGCCATCTCATTTGCATTGTGTTTGAGATAGGAGTTAGCCCAAGCACGGGAAACGAGGGACGTTTCGTACTCCGAGTGACGGAACGTGTCTCAATTCCCAGTCGCCGACACTCCGGATTACCCATGATGGAGTTTAGGTCTTGTTGTGTTTATATGTGCATTCATTTTAAATCGAGTCGTGCAATTCGACTCTTCGGCCATCATGCATCGAGATATGTGATTGGTGGCACGAGGATCGAGGACTACACTCTCTGAAGAGTTGTCATGCATACATATGTAAAAATACTTTGCTGTGCCCCTTTCTTGCTCTCTGTTGTAGCAAATCAGAAATCAGCAGCTTTCTAAAGCCTTGCACAGCATTCTGGCATTAATTGCAAACAGAGGCGAATCGGGGCATCGCAATGGATTTTCGCGCAAGGCAACTCGAGCATGCATCTTTCATCATTCGGAACAGAGCTGAGGCGGTCCATGGATTTGCATGCTAATTTACTTGCTTTCCTAGTTAAATTGTTAATTAATTAGGGTTTTGTACTTATTCGGACTGTAATTATTATTCGGACTGTATTATTTATTCGGACCCTCCGAGCAAGGGCACAATTGTAATAACTGTGCGTGTGTGTGATGTATATCTTCCAACCCCACGTCTTTCTCCCTTTTATTTACCAGCTTATGATGGTTAAATTAGGGCATGTTTCAATTAGCATACTTATGCTTGCATGTTTGCATCATTCATCTGTCTTGCATGCACCGGGCTCGGCGTATCATACTAACTGCATTTGTATTTCAATTTCAAATTGAATACATGTTAGTTGTAGCATCATCACATGCCATCTTTAGAATAGCCGAGCCTATTGTAATTGCATTCATGCATGTGTTGCATTAGGCATTTCTGTATAGTTAGGATCATGCATGGATTTCTAACATAGCTTCTGTTTTGGCTTGGAGTACTCGGTAAGTGTTTATGCTTTAGCATCCTTGCATGTGTGTGAGTGACTGCCATGATAGCATGCTTACCACGAGCCTACGTGCTTACGTGGTATACCTGCTTGAATGCCTATGGGTGAAGGTTGGGTTATTTGGATTGGGACAATTCATCAATTATGAGTTTTAAGCCCACTTGAGAGTGGCAAATCATCATGTTTTCTAAGCCCACCCGAGG